TTGGAGAGACAGGATTTATAGCCAAGAAGCAATCACACAAGACACAAGAATGTATGTCATCAAGGGGAAAGCCAGGTGCTGCAGGCCTTTAGGGAAGGGGAGGTAGGGGTGGGGGCACACCAGTGTCCATAGCAGCAGGAGCGATCAGAGAAGGCCTCTGGAGGAGGCAGAGACTTGACTGAGGCTTGTTCAATGGAGAGGGGTTAGTGAGAGGTCAGCAAGTCAGCAAGGTAGGGATTCCAGGTCAGCGAATAAACAGGAACCAAAGCAGAGAGTCAGAAATGAGCACAGCATGTTCACAGTCTAATGAGGAGACTGCAGACCACAGTTGAAAGTGAATGGTGCGAGATGATAAGGTTGAACGCTAGTCAGAGGAGTTTAGGTTGAATGTGGAAGGAAGGAGGAAGCAAACATATTTTGGTTAGGGAAGGGACATGGTGTGTTTTGAACAAGATGGATTATTTGTGGGAGGAAAAATGGAGAATGGGCATCTTGTGCATGACCTAGGGTGTGAGATGGTGAGGTTCTGGATTGGGTCATCAGCAAGGTATTTTGAAATGCAGTGCACGCAGGTAACCATGTCTGGCATGCCAGCTCAGTGCCTTCAAGTGGGAGTGCTTTATAAATAAGGTCATGGAGATTAAGACCCCACAATAGTGTGTTAGCAGCATTAATTGGGTTGTAGCACATGTAGCTGATTTAGAGCTGAAATCTTTTGTTTTAACTTTTCCTCATGTCTTGTTGGCTCAGCCACTAAGTAATTGTGTGTGGTTTTGGGCAAGCTACTTAACTCCTCAGTGCCTTGGTTTTGTTGTCTGTAAAATAAGGTTTTTTTTTTTTTTTTTTTTTTAAAGAGTCTTGCTCTATTGCCCAAGCTGGAGTGCAGTGTACGATCTCTGCTCACTGCAACCTCTGCCTCCCAGGTTCAAGCGATTCTCCTGCCTCAGTCACCCAAGTAGCTGGGACTTAAGGCACATGCCACCACCCCTGGCTAATTTTTGTAATTTTAGTAGAGACGGGTTTCACCATGTTGGCCAGGCTAGTCTCAAACTCATGGACTCAAGCCTGCCGTGCCTCCCAAAGTGCTGGGATTATAGGTATGAGCCACTGTGCCTGGCCAAAATGAGGGTTTTATAGTACCTCACAGGCTTGTTATGAGAATTAAATGAATTAGTACATATAAAGTGCCTACCCTAGAAACTGGCACACAGGAAGCCTTTAAAAAATCTTATTATTTATTTATTCAGTAGTTTGCATTATCATGGGGATAGAAATATTTAAATTACCCAGTAGGCCAACGCATCCAGAGCTGTGCTGAATCAAGGCCCTCAAAAAAAAAAAAAGCCTTGCTGGAGACATCGCCAAGATGGGACTCATTCAGAAACTGGGATGGAATGTCAGAAATGCCAATTCAAGGCTGAGCAGTGGCTCATGCCCATAATCCCAGCACGCTGGGAGGCTGAGGCAGGAGAACTGCTTGAAGCCAGGGCTTGCAGGTAACAGTTAACTATGATCACACCACTGCACTCCAATCTGGGCAACACAGTGAGACCCTGTTTCTAAAAATAATTAAAAAAACCCAACACCCTCCTGCAATACTATAAATTTGTTAAGATCTAACGCATAAAACCTGGAGACCCAAACCACAATTTAATCATGTCACTTTTGAGCTAAAACACCTTCACTGGCTCTCACTGCCAAGAAATTGAGTCTCCTCTTCTTAGCCAGCCAGCCTTCCTCCACAGATCTGGGTTGGCCTTTCCAGCCTCCTCCTCCTCTAGCCCAGGTGGTCTTCGCCTCAACCACACTGTGCTCCTGGTCATCTCCCCTGTGCCTTTGCTCTTACCCCCAAAGCTCATTCCTCATACATCATGTATGCCCTGTAAAAGTAGTCACCTGTTTTTAATAGACTTTATTTTTTTAAGAGCAGTTTTAGGTTTACAGAAAAATTTTGCAGCAAGGACAGAATTCCCATATATTCCCTCCCCCAACAGTTTCTCCTATTAACATCTTGCATTGGTGGGCTACACGATATACACAGTTATAACACTGGTACACCCCAGTGTTATAATTGATGAACCAATATTGTGGTACTACCATTAACAAAAGTCTATAGTTTGCATTAGGGTTTATGCTTTGTGGTGTACAGTTCAATGGGTTTTTGACAAATGCATAATGTCCTATATCCATCATGGCAGTATCATAAAGAATAGCTTCACTGCCCCAAAATTCCCTGTATGCCACCTATTCATCCCTCTTTCTCCTGGTCAGTTTCTAAGAATCAGTTCAAATGCCCTCTCTTCTGTGAAAACGTCTCAGTTCCCTCAGTTACAATTAATCTGTCTGATGCTTGTATAGTGCTTTTTCATACTTGTTATAGCTGTTATGTTTGCATGGCATGAAAGAAGTATACACAGCCAGGCGTGCAGTGGCTCACGGCTGTAATCCCAGCACTTTGGGAGGCCGAGACAGGCATACCACCTGAGGTCAGGAGTTCAATACCAGCCTGGCCAACATGGTGAAACCCCGTCTCTACTAAAAATACGAAGATTAGCCGAGAGTGGTGGCGCATGCCTGTAGTCCCAGCTACTCAGGAGGCTGAGGCAGGAGAATCTCTCTTGAACTCAAGAGGCGGAGGTTACAGTGAGCCGAGATTGCATCACTGCATTCTAGCATGGACAACAGAGTGAGCTAGACTCTGTCTCAAAAAAAAAAAAAAAAAAAAAGCATACATACTTTTCTTCTGTCATTATATTGTCCTTGAGGAAGGAACTGTGCCACAGATTTGTCCTGACATCTAAACCAGACCCTTAGTCTTAACTGGTGCCTTATGAATGCTGGCTGCACTGAACTGAACCATGAGCAAATACGGTTCGGCTCAGTCATCCACTACATACAGTACTTTTCCCTCTAGACAGGAGCTGCTCTTTGCAAATCTCCCCCACCCTAAATCCGAGCCAGCGAAGGTATCATAAAACAAACTTGCTCACGGGATTTTGTAGAAAAGGCCTCAAGAGGCAAGGCTTTAGACCAAGACTTCTGAAAGTGACATATGTACTTGTGAATTTCACACATGCTCCTTGGATGGGCAGTTTCTTTGGAGGGAACCGTCTTCTGTCCCTTAAGATTTTGGATCAGAAGCAGCCATAGGAGAGGTGGCCCAGGCCAGCTTTATATTGTTATTAGACCATAGGGCGATTTCTCGCCTCACCAGTCTCCAAAAACATAGCACAAAAAAGGACAAGAGCCTGGTTGTTTTCACCTCACGGACCAGACACCCCCTCAGGAAGGCCCCTGGAGAGTCTTCTATCTGGTCCCCAGTCTCTCTGCCCAGGTGCCCCCCAACAATTGAGGATGACTAGTGTGTCCTCTGGGTAAGGAGCACCTTCCCATAAACACTTATTTTTCTTAATTCACGCTGAGTTTTTACTTTATTTTTGTTTAAAGTCACTGTTCTGAAACGTTCTAAAACGCCGTAGGAACATGCAGATCGGAACAAAAGCAAATAAATCGAATCCTGTGAAGTAACAAAGCAGACACCCTTCTCCTAACACCCAGCACAAAGCTAAATGAAAAATATCAGTCATCCACTAGATAAAGTATTTTCCCCTCTAGACAGGAGCTGCCGTTTGCAAACCTCCCCCACCCTAAATCCGAGCCAGCGAAGGTATCAAAAAACAAACTATTCCCTTCAGCTCCCCAGACTGGAGGCAAGTTTCAGCAGCACCGTCTATTTCCTTGAGCAACACAAGCGGTTTGAAAGACCTTGGCTTTGACTTCCCTGTACCTGCCTCCAGACACACATGGGGGCGAGTTGGGGTGGGGGGAGATATTGCCCCCCATCCCCGCTGCCCTCCGCGACGCCAGGCCAGGCGCAGGGCAGCGGAGAAGATGGGGGGCGCCCTGGATTCGCGGTTCCAGCTGCAGGCAGTTACCTGGGGCAGTGAGTGCTCTCTACAGAGCCGGGCTACCCCATCCCCCCGATTCCAGAAAGGGCCCGAGGAAAGGAGAGGGCGCCTGCCCCGCTCCGGAGCAGCCAGGGAGCCCGACCGAGCCGTGACGAGGGTGCGCTCGGAGACCGCAGCCGCTACCGCCCGCTAGCACCTGTGCTCCCAGGGGGCGGGGCCTCCTCCAGGTGTGCTCAGAGGGAGGCCGGCGCGGAGTCGGGGCGGGCGCTGGAACCCGAGCTTTTCCCCCAGCCCAGAAATGCGCGGGGAGGAGCGGTTCATCCGCACCCCAGCGCCGCGCGAGCCACTGGCGCCGCCCGCCTCCTCCGGGTCCCGAGGGGAGAGCGCACCGTGCGGCGCGGAGGGGGTTAACCGGGCAGCCCGCGGCTGGAGCGCGCTTAACCCTTTGGAGCCCGCAGGTCAGCCGGACCAGGCCGGGGTGGCGGCACCCCGAGTCCCACGCGGCGGCCACCCCGAGCGCGCAGGCGGTGCCGGGCAGAACCACGCGCCGGGCTGCCGACCCGCCGGGGCGCGGCGCGGGCCGTGGGCGGCTCGGGGCGGGCGGGGGGCGGGAGGGGACGGCGGCGGGCGCGCAGCGTCGCCAGGGCAAACCGGCGTGCGGCGCGGCGCGGCGGGCGCGAACCGACGGGCGGGCGGACGCCTCCGTCCCCGGATGTGAGCTCTGGCTGCCCGCGGTCCCAGCGACCAGCGGCGGCGCTGAGCGGCGGCGGCGGGCACCGAGCACCGCGGCGGGCGGGCGGACAGGCGGGCATGGGGGCTGCGCCAGACGCTTCCCGGCAACCGGGCAACATCACCATGACATCTCTCCGCTAGAGGGAGGACAAGCCAGTTCTCCTTTTACAGCAAAAATTACATGTATATATTATTAAGATAATATATATACATCGGATTTTATTTTTAAAAAAGTTTATTTTGCTCCATTTTTGAAAAGAGAGAAACTGGGCGGCGAGCGGTTTTTTTTTAAATCAATTATCCTTATTTTCATTATTTGTCCCCGTCCCTCCCCACCCCTGCTGGAAGCAAGTCAGGGCAGGGACCATGGCTCCTACCTGTTGGTGATCCTTCCCCATTCCGCCCCCGCCCCAAAGCCCAGCACAGTGCCCTGCACACAGTAGTCGCTCAATAAATGTTCGTGGATGATGATGATGATGATGATGAAAAAATGCAGCATCAACGGCAGCAGCAAGCCGGACCACGCGAACGGTGAAGCAGCCAGAACCCGAGCACCCTTGCCAAATCCGATCCTGTCTGATCCTCCAGCCACCTCCCCGCGGCGCTGGGTGGAGTTGAAGAGGGTTGGAGAGAAGTGCTGCCAGCTCGGTATCATCTACACAGAGAGGGGACATGCGTGACAGCCACTCACGCTCCCACTCGAGGCCCACAGATGTCAGAGTTAATTCTGCATTTGTGGGGTGGGGGCGGCCGTGGAGTGTGTGGAAGCCTTGATTGCAGCCCCGGAGGGCAGCAGTCGAGAATTGATTCGGGTACAGTGTCCTCAGGCTCAACTTTCCCTTCTTGCCAGTGGCAGAGGGCCGCAAGTCTTCAGCCGAACCCCCACTTGCCAGCTCTTCTCGCTTCCTCCTCCCCCGCCCCCTCGTTGACTAGGAAGAGAAGGTCCTGACAGCATCCGGAAAATTCTAGGATTGCCCACGCGGTTTAGCCTCCGTGCTGGTGGTGAAGCACATCCCTCCCCTCGCGAGGCCGGCCTTGTGCTCGGGGGGAAAGAGCTCGGAGTGGAAGCGTGCATTCCCTTTCAGCGTTGCTGGCTAATACGTCGGTAACCTAGCAATGCCAGGAGCCTGCCGCTGTGGGGCTCCCTCCCCAGCTCTGGCCCGGGCTGCGTGCAGCCTTCCATGCCGGCCGGAAGCTGGGTCGGAGGATGGAGCAAGCTCTTGGCCAACCCTCCCCTTTGGAGACCGCCAGGTGCCCCCAGCCCGGTCGCTGTAAGCCTTTCGGTTGAGCGCTCCTGGGGAGAAGCTTGACAATCCCGTTCCACGTTTGCCGGCTGCTCGCCACGCTTTGGCCTTCTCAGGCTTTCAGACCCATACTTGCTTTGACTCTTAGCAATAATTGGCTTCCACAAGCGCCCATCCCTCTACCTTTCTGCCATCTCTCTCACTTTGACTTCTGCTTCAGTGAGAGGAGACTGAAGCGCGAGTGCCTGGGAGATCTGCCTGGGAGGTGGCCTGACCCAAAGCTGGCGGGGGAGCTTCACATGAGGGAGCCTCCTTGGGTTTCTGCCTTGTGTACACCTGGATGCCAACCTACACGGAGATAATTCCCTCTTAGGCCTGGGGCCCCTGGCATAGTCTAGTCAGTCTATCCTAGGTGTAGAGTGCAGGCTGACTGCCTTGTCATCTCTCTGGATGCTGGCTTGGCTGATGCTGCTGCAGTTTTAAAATGCAAAAGCCCTAAAGATGTTTCTGTTTCGGAAGCCTGTGGAGAGGCTGGAGTCCCAAGCATCATGGTTACTCATTTTTGCAAGTGTCGGTGCATAATCTAGATATTTGTTATGGGGTTTTTGGTATTGCCTGGGTGCCTATGGAAGATTTCTTTTCCGTACTGAAAAAAAAAATGCATTTGTGGCTGTGGAAAGATGTTGGAGTAACACTCTGAAAATGATTAAGACTATTGAATTAGTAGTACTGCCTTTTTTCTTGGTAGATAATATTGAATTCGTTAAGAGAAAAGCTGTTGTATATATCTGTTAACTCATTAGACATAGATGGGTTTTTGCAATTTTTTTTTCTTGGTGAATGTGGTAGTTACGTTAGAGAAAAGCTGTTGTATATATCTGTTAACTCATTAGACATAGATGGGTTTTACAAATCAGAGATGTGGATTAAATGCGGGAATGACCTCAGTTTTGTCAGAAGAAATGCACTAAAAGACCCTTTGTGAAGACATGATGTGAAGAACTAACCCCACTGGGTGTGATGCAGCAGTGATCCTGTGTGATTGACGCTGAGACCAGAGCTCGTGGACTTTTCTTGCCTCTCTAGCTGACTAAACCCCAGCTTGTGAAAAATAGGACAAGAGATTCAAAATGGAAATATAGGAATGAATAATTTCCCTGTTATTGATGGGAGACAACCTTTGATTTTTTTTTTTCTCCTACACATTGGATCCTCATTAAAAAAAAAATCTTTGTTTTTCTCCTTCTCCCCAGAGGCAAACTATGCAAGAGGCACCAGACTCCCTCTTTCTGGTGAAGGACCAACTTCTCAGCCGAATAGCTCCAAGCAAACTGTCCTGTCTTGGCAAGCTGCAATCGATGCTGCTAGACAGGCCAAGGCTGCCCAAACTATGAGCACCTCTGCACCCCCACCTGTAGGATCTCTCTCCCAAAGAAAACGTCAGCAATACGCCAAGAGCAAAAAACAGGGTAACTCGTCCAACAGCCGACCTGCCCGCGCCCTTTTCTGTTTATCACTCAATAACCCCATCCGAAGAGCCTGCATTAGTATAGTGGAATGGAAGTATCCTTTTTTTGGGGGAAGTCTTTCTCATTTTCTCTTTTACCATCTGTTTTTTAAAAGGATTTGCTTTCTGAAGTGACACAAAGCTGTAGCAGTCTGGAATGCGAGTAACAGAAGTTGTATATAAGGGGTTTCATTGTATATACCTTCCTGTCTCCTCGGGTTGCAGAGGGGTGGCTGTATGGGTATATTTAGCCCACTGTCTGGGTGTGTGTATAGTAGTAGTAGTGGGGGGAGGGAGTGACAGCCTGAAACTTCACAGTGGTAGATAATTAAAGTTTGAAACCAACTTTTGGTCATTGGACATTAGATGGTTAGTTTTAAATTCAGTGTTGTTTTTGGGCAATAGCATGCATTGAACCTATTGCAAACAAGGTATACAGATTAGAAAAAAAAAAACTGTATGAGACTCTACTTGAAGGGAATACATTTTTGACCTTTAGTAGAATCTTCTTATTCTGATGTTTGAAATTTGCTTCTGCAACTACAGTTAATGCTAAGGTTGCTTCTAGTCTGACATTTGGTGATTCTAATTATTCAGGTAGCTACAGATATGAGCACATGCTTCCTAGGGAGAGATATACTTTTGATTTTTTTTTCTGATCAATGCTATAACTTCCTGGAATTTCCTTTTGACAAGTTCCAAAGAAACATTTGGAACATGAGCGTGAGGGAGCCAGTGAAGGGAGAGGTTCGTGTGTGCCTCTTCCTCCTGAGCCCTTATGAGTTATAGAACAGCCCTCTCAGTGGAGGAATTTGCAGTTGCTGTCTTTATAAAAAATTCTGTCTATGTCCTTGGACTGGAGTTACATTTCTGGGTGTCTCCTTTGTATTTTTAAAATTGAACTCCAAATGCCCCAGAATGGCTGTCATGTCCCAGATCTTGGAAAACGATTGTGCTTCAGCCTGCTTAACCCCTTCCCTAAATCTGGAGGCCAACCTCCAGTTACTGCCACTCTTTAGAGAAGGTTGACTGAGGCCTTCTTTCTGAGCAAATGGCTTTTTAATTAGGCAGATGATTCATTGGTCTGGGTAAAATAAAGCATTTCCTTTCCCCAGAAGTGTGTTTGGAACTTACACACTTAGGGGCCTTAGAGCAGTTCCTAACTACAGGAAGGGGTGTCAATATAGGAATTCCCACCACCAGGCCTAGAAGGATGCAGGGGCCACGCCAAAAGGGGAGCATGTTGGCAGTCAGCTAGAAAGTGGAGCTGAAATCCCCTTATAATTTGAGGATCCAGCTCGGCAGCTATTTGCATGCCCTCTGTCTTTAGTTGGCTATTTTCTCTGCTAATGGACAGGAGTTAAAATGAGGTAACTGTCTAGAAAGATTCTGGAGAGAGTGGTCAAATGCTAGGGTAGGATTTGAGGGGTTCTCGTGTGCTTTTTCATTTTGCAACAGATGTCCCTTCTCTAAAGTGAGTTATGGTGTCTCTCACATAACTGGGGTTGTGTGTGTGCATTTTCTCTTGAAGTTCTCTAGTCTGAGAACGAGGAGGGAGCTCGGTAAGCCAGCATGTGGGCCAGTGGCATTGCTAGAGTCATGACAATGGCTGTACCTTGCCAGGAATATCTCCTCCTCCTCGGATTGTCTTGACATGACTCTGAGGAAGCAGAGACCTCTTTGTGGGGTCACTACTTTTGTGTGGAGTAGGTGGGAGGCCTAATGCTGTTTCTCTTTGTGCACAGTAATGTGTACATAGCAATTTTTGCGTACAGAGTGAATTCCTGGATCACACTGCTGTCTCCCTTTCCCAGTTGCCAGACACATGTGTACAGGAATTAGGGGATGTGGCTGCCAATTCAGGGAGAGTCTGTTTACAAATGGGACAGTTTGTAAAATAGATAGATCCTTAAGTGATATATGATTTTTTTTTTTAAATGATAATTTCCTTCTAATTCAGGGAGCAGGCTATAGGAATCCTTTCCATCCAGGGCGGCTCTGTCAGGCCCCGTCCCAGTGGGAGAGCAAGGGTCGTTTGTTTTTACACACAGGCATGACAGAGTGTCCTGCCCCCTGGAGGAGTGAGGGATGTTCTCCTTATCAGAAGGAATTGTTGGGATCAGACCCATCTATTTCTCTATTGCTTTGTTCTGCTTCACTTGTGAATATCTGATGGTGGTGAGATGGTATCCACTTGCACCTAGAGACTAAAACTGGACCAGCATAAAGAAAAAAATACAACTTATATTTAGCCTCCCTAAACAGTGTTAGTATTTCTCAGATGTGCTGGTTTAGCATTTGGGTACTGGGAAATTGAAAAGGAAGAATACCTATTACTTAGGTATTGGGAAATTGAAAAGGAAGAATGGAAGAAAGAGGGAGGGAAGAGACTATTGTGTTTCTATAGAGAACAACAATGGGGCCCTTGACTTTAGATTTCAGTGGGGACATGCGAAAAGGAAAAATGGAAAGGTAATTCTGAAGTCTTACGGTGGTCTGTCTGAAAGTTGGATCCCTGGGTGAAAAAGATTTTATAATATTAGATGAGTTAAGAGAAACAATGTGAATTAAAGCTGACTGGCTTAAAAAAATGAACCCATCAAAATTAGTCAGGGAATAATGTTATTCATTGCCTTTTTTTTTTGATGAGTTATGAAAGCTCTTCGAAGATGAAGGTTTTATGAAACTCAAGATCTCTCCAGAGGCCAGGCATGGTGGCTCATGCCTGTCATTCCAGCACTTTGGGAGGCAGAGGTGAGCAGATTGCTTGAGTCCAGGAGTAAGCAGATTGCTTGAGTCCAGGAGTTCGAGACCAGCCTGGGCAACATGGCAAAACCCCTGTCTCTACTGAAAAAAAAAAAAAAAAATCCAGCATGGTGGCACATGGCTGTAGTTCCAGCTACTTGGGAGGCTGAGGTGGGAGGATGGCTTGAGCCTGGGAGTCGGAGGTTTCAGCAAGCTGAGATTGTGCCGGTGCACTCCAGCCTTGGTGACAGTGAGACCCCATCTCAAAAAAAAAAAAAAAAAAAAAAGATATTTGTAGAGAGGTAAAGAGCATTTGTTTCCTGTGGCATTTTTGGATTTCCCAGAAGTATGTCAGGATGAATGGAGAATAGTCTGTTTGTATCCTCCAGTTTTAAGTACCAAGTACTTAGTTAAACCGTGGCCTTGCTTCTTGTGGGTGAGTGTATAGGCGAAGCACTGTGGTAAAATCATACCCAGGCATTGCAGGTGAGGCTGGTGCTCACGAAACCTTGCATTTGGAAAGGCTGAAAACCCAAAGAAGAAAAACAGTCATTTTGGCAGACGTCAAATTTTGTATTGCCAGTTTTGACAGTGTCTCTTAATAACACCAGAATGTTTAGGCAAGTATCTCTTGAAGGCTGATCTCAAAGTGATTCTTCCAGACAGACCACCGAGATTGAGAAATGTTAAAGCCTACTTTGAATGTGTCTGAGGCTGATTTCTTACGGCTTTTTAATTTAATTTGTTTACAAATTGAGCACAGTAACAGCATATGATAAACTAAGCTCCAGTCCAGCTCTAATCTGAAACAGTTATAGCCATCGATTCCTCTAGCAGAGAAAGCAGAGGTGGGAGCTGAAGCCTGGCTCGCTGCTGATCACATCTAAGGTATTGGAATATGCCATGAGAAAGTCACAGGTAGAATGGAGAAGGTCCTGGTGGCTTGGCCTGGCCCAATCCAGACAGGCGATTTAGGCCAACCCTGCCAAAAATAAATAGCCCCTGAGAAAATGGCTGTGACACATGGAGGCAAGGATCTGTGGAAGACGTTTATCCCATGATTTCTCTGTGTCTGCCACAGCTGGGAACTTAGGCTCTTGTTGCTTTTAAACCTGTAAGAAGCAGAAACCTGGTTCACACAGTGCCCTAATTGGATGTACTTTTAGGTTTTAGCATACAGTGTGCAGGAGAAGAATGAGTGTAACATGATCCTTGCAACAGAAGAAAAGGACACGGAGAGGTCATTTGATAGGAGGCTCCACTGTGAGATGACCACCAATGATTACTTCTGCCGAAAACCTAGCAGTCACAGCAGTCAGCCGAAATAGGATTTGTGTATGTCATTTTCATTTTAAAGGTGCTTCGAAAGTGGTGTGATTGGGAGTGTGATGCGGGACATGGTTTATGTTTCCATAACACATATATACCTTAACACATTTTTTCAGACCATTTGACATATTTATATTATTGGCTATTTTTGCCAATTGTGTGGCCTTAGCTATTTACATCCCATTCCCTGAAGATGATTCTAATTCAACAAATCATAACTTGGTAAGTGTCCTTAGAGTTCCTGCTGGTCCTGGTATATGGCTATCATTTGGTTCTCTACTTAAACCAGCAGCTGGCCTTCTGGGTAGTTGAAGTTTACAGCCATGCGTGTCGTGTTTCTTGGAGCTTTGCAACAGTGGTTTTTTGTTTGTTTGTTTGTTTGTTTTAAACTGTGTTCTCAAATGTATACTGAATGAAAGTATTTAAAGTCATGAATCTTTCATAGATATGGAATTTTATGGAAGAGATTTGTAGCAGATTTTAAAATAACTGTTCTCTCCACATAAGTTTTTGCTACCATTCTTTTCCTGATAATGTTAGCTTTTTTCTTTTTCTTTTTCTTCTGTTTTTTAAATCTAGTGTTCTTGGGAATGGTGGGTACTTTGGTCAGTTGTTCTGGTAAGTAGAGAATTATCGTAGACTTTATACATAAACTGTTTTTGGAGAAGTGGAATATAACAAAACTAATACATCTACATACAGCATAATTTGGAGAACAATACATGATATTATTGAATACATGATATAATATTAAAGTTTCTACTCCACATCCTATGAAATGTCCCAAGAGAAAATGATTGTATGGTTAAATAAATCAGGATGCTTCCATATACTTTGCTGCCTTCTTAAAGATTTGTAGTGCACGTTAGCTTAGTAAAAGCTTTGGGAAGTTCTGCAGTTAAAAAACAGGTTTCCTTTTGTTTAACTCAGCTAGTCCCTAAAAGTAATCAGTCATGAATTCTTTAAACATTTTTTTTTTTTTTTTTTTTTTTGCAAAAGAGTTTAACATCATGGAACCAGTGATCCATGGAACTTCCTTTGGGAAAGGTTGATATAGTTTTTAAAAAAGCGCTAAAGAGTACTAGACTGGGACTAAGATCTTGTCCCACTCACCTGTCAACTAGCTGTATTTGGGATCATTTCTTATACCTTTCTGCATTGCCGTGCAGCCACCTGGCAATTAGGAGGATTGGGTAAGAAGACTGCTAGGATCGTTTTTACCTCTGACATTCTGCAATCTTTCTTTGATGATTCAGAAGCCATTTCAGGATTTTTCTGGTGCTGCAGCATCCTTCTTGCAAGGATTGATTCTTTGCAATCAGAAGCCGTGCAGAATGGGAGATGAAGGGGAGCCCATGTCGGATAACAGGAAACTCAATTGTTTTTCTTCTCTTCTCTTAGCTGGTTCCGTTTGTTTTTGGCTTCTCATGTTGAAGCTCTATTTTAGCAGGGCTGGATGTTCCTAACTGAGCGAGTGTTGTAAAGGCAAACACACTAGGCTCTCCCTTGTGTGGGAGAGCTCTGCTGGCTTCTGGAGATAGTGAAATTATGCTCTTGTGAATAAGCCTTAACGATTTATGTACAGGATTTCATGTTACATTTAAAATGTTGTGGCACATTTCAGATGTAATGTGATGTCTATTTGTATGTGGGCTTTAGTAGTTTGATATCTAGAGAATTTTCTAAAAATTTTGGGAATTGATGCTGCAAATACAATTATAAATGGGAGTTGGATAACCACATAAACACTGGTAGTATATATTTGGACAATGCCAGAGATCGTCTGCGTAACTCTGGACATTTTACGTAGCTTTTGATTTGTTTGTAGACATGTGACTTTAGATGGTTGTTTTAAAGGAAAAGCAGAAGTGGTGGAAAGCCTCCCATCAATGGAGATAGATCATCGTAGTCTAGGCCACAGATGGTGTTAGCCTTGTTACCAAATTTAACGACATGGATGGTGACCCAGATTGTTGCTTTTTGTAGCTCAAGAGAACATGATTAAACAAACTTAGAAAATAAATACCTTTCAGAAAGGCAGATTAATTCAGATCAATGGAATAATTAATGTAGCTGCATGTGTAAGCCAATTAATATTCTGAATTTTTCCCAGGGAAATTCAGCGCACTGATATAAGCGCTGTGAGACCATTTGGATTTCTCAGCTAAGAAGTGAGGAAATAAAATACAGGAAATGGATTAATCTCTCCCTTTTGCACCCCCTCTCCAGTGGATCCTTTCTTGACAATTCTTGAGCATTGGACTTTTTTTTTTTTTTTTTAGAGGGATTTGGCAGTGTGTTAATTTGGCGGGCCTTTCTAAAAGCCAACGTATATTTCTTTGACCTCTTCACATAATATTCTGAAACTCACGGCATTCAACTTTGTGTCTTGCTTTCATTTGAATGGTCACATGGCCAGATGAGTTTATACTCTGCTTGACTCTTTAAATACTTCCTTTCCCACTGTGGGAAGGAAGATCTTTGTGGATTTCCTTCTGACTCTAAGCAAGGTCCCATGCCATGTTGGTCCTCCCATGAGGGAGCTGGGTTTTTGTTTTTTTTTTTTTTTAATACATTTGACCCAATTTGTACCAGAGTGATTGCTCTATTTTTGGGATTGGTTTAGAGGCAGCTGAACGAAGCTTATTTTTCATCTGTAGTAAATACCTTTTATTTAATGTGAATGGTAAAATCAAAGGGCAGACGCTGAAATGAGTTGCAAGGCTGCATGTATCTGGAAGCTACTGGTCTTCTTTGCCTGATAGCTCCATGGGAAATGTGCATGTTGAGTGTTAGAGTGAGATTCAGGGCCAGCTTTATGTGTGGGGTTTCTGCCTGTTACCGGTTACCGAGTAAAATTATGACTTTTGTTGGGTAAGAAATGTGGCCATCCCCATTGATCCAGTGTGTCTTTATTCTGGATAGTATGTAACTTAGCTAGTTTTGGGATTTGGAGACTACCTTGGGGGGCAGAAGTTTTCCCAGGGATAGTTTTTGATCTTTATTATTATTATTTTTTTAAGTATAAACACTCAAGTTTCTATGCAGCTTTCGTTTATGGACTTGCAGGGACTAGTGGAGGCTGGAGTCATGGAAACGGTGCAACTCAGTTCCCACAGTAATATCCCTCCTAGTTCAGTCAGTAGCAGTATTTTCTCAGTTCCATTTACTGAAAGCAAATACCATTGATTTTATTTTATTTTTTTAGCACAGAGGAGGGGAATGCCTCTGTATCAAGTGTCAGAGTGGGGATGATTACAATATCATACTTCGCTGTGAAGAAAAATGCTTTATTTCATGTCATTCAATTTCTTATAAGCAAACTGACATGGCTGAACAGTTTCGAGTCTGTGTAATCTGCTCCTGGTACTCTTCCTCCTGACGTCACCTCTTACTTCTCTGGAACGTGGAACTGCTTACCATTAAAAATGTCCTGAATGGGGATCTTCATCTGCCAAGTCAGACCTTCCTTGATCTCTACTGATGGCTGCACTTACCTCTAAACCATCTCTAAACCAGCACTAAGTGCCTGGAGGCCAAGGCCCATGACCCATGCCTCTCTATCCCCTTATCTAGCAAAGTGCCTGACGTACCAGGTGCTTTTTATTTATTTATTTTTATTTATTTATTTTTTTGAGGCTCTGTCACCCAGGCTGGAGTGCAGTGGCACAATCTTGGCTCACTGCAAGCTCTGCCTCTGGGGTTCATGCCTTTCTCCTGCCTCATCCTCCTGAGTAGCTGGGACTACAGGTGTGCTCCACCACGCCGGCTAATTTTTAGTAGAGATGGGGTTTCACCATATTAGCGAAGATGGTCTCGATCTCCTGACCTCGTGATCTGCCCACCTTGGCCTCCCAAAGTGCTGGGATGACAGGTGTGAGCCATGGCGCCTGGCCACCAGGTGCTTTTTAAACTGAACCAAAAGTTTCACTGTCTGTGACCCTTTTCCTGCTCGTCTTCTCGTCTCATTGAGGTTGGGTTTTGAGCCTGTTGACATTTTGCCTATAAAGGCCTGCAAATTCCACTGTTGAGTGACTTTTGCTAGAGAAGTGATCCTGAGGCCTCAGTGGCTACCCATTGCCCAAGGGGGAAAGTCCAGCGTGTGGCCAGGTCCAGCTTGGTCTGGTTCAGCTTTGTTGGGTTTTGTCTCCACTCCTCTCCTTTACAGCCCCATCCATTTGTCCACAAACGTTCCTAAACATTCTTCCTTCCCCTACTTGTCCACCCCCTGGCTTCTCCATTTGAAACATCTCTTCTTTCATACTGCCCTTTCTTTTATTTTTTTGAGACAGGGGTTGCCCAGGCTGGAGTGCAGTGGTGCGATCTTGGCTCACTGGGGTGCAGTGGCACGATCTTTGCTCACTGCAACCTCTTTCTCTGGGACTCAAACAATCCTCCTGTCTCAACCGCCCGAGTAGCTGGGACTGTGGGCAAATGCCACCACACCTCACTAATTTTTGTATTTTTTGTAGAGATTGGGTTTCACCATGTTGCCCAGGCTGATCTCAAACTCCTGGACTCCAGTGATTTACCCACCTTGGCCTCCCAAAGTGCTAGGATTACAGGTGTGAGCCTCCGCGCCCGGCCTCTACCACCCATTCTTTACTGTCACTCTCCTTACAGCTGCTCAAAAATAATCTCAGATTACGTTTCTTCCATGAGGCCTTTCCTGAAACTGATCCAAACAATCTGAACCTTTTTTGTGTCATTTTGCACATAAAATACCCTATATTTTTTGTTATTTATATGCACGTCTTTATCCTCTCGAGCATCTTCAGAATACAGTTAATAGTGAAGCTTTCTGAATCCCCAACCATGTCTGATGCAGTGGTAGGGGTATACAGTAGATGTTCAGTAAATAAGTATTGCTAATGTGCACCAAATGAACGGCTCTCCCAGGAGAAGCACCTCCATCATTCCTTCCTCTGAGCCATGTTTCACATTTTCTTGGGTGACAGATCCCTCTGTGGATTTCTTGCAGGTCCCTCGCTGGGAATGAGTGGGAAGGTGTACATGTTATTCCTGAAAGCTTAGGGTCTGTAGCCCTTCTTGTGCACCTCTGGTTGAAAGAACCCACAGTGCCGGCTTTCACAGCAGAGCAGTCTAGGAGATTTTGTGCTCTGGTTCCAGGGCTCAGAGTAGCAAGAGTGGTGGGACCTGTCTGAGAAGCAGTGCTGGGCTATGGATGCTTGCCTGTGGGACCAGATGCCTTACAGTGGCCA